GCCGGTAAAAGAGATGAAAACGGAGGACAATAATCAGGGTGAACACAGCTCCCGTTATTCGCTCATCATTCATTTTAAGGTTTCCACGTTGAACCTCTTTTGGAACAAGTTTATATAAGTTTATATAACCTTAAATTCTCCCCCAGAGGTCTATTAAACTTTTAAAGATGGCGGCACCATTAAAGTTTTATTCTTCTTCCCTGTTTTAAAGTCTGCAGATCTAAATGGCGCCGGGCTCCGGGCGGCCACGCCACTCCTGGAGGATGGCTGCCGTTTCCACGGTAACCCCGGCAGAAATATAAACCAGAAAGAACAACTTCAATCGCTCAAGTTTGAACGGGAATCGGGAAACTTTTAGATTTGCAGAAGGTCCCACCATGAAAAAGCCTTTTCTGGGACAGTGTTATCAGTTTGGCTTCCCGAGTACGTTTTGAAGTTTTACAAGTTTACGACATTTCTGTGTGACATTTCTGAGAGTCCCAGAAAGGTTTTTTAGTTTCCACACGTCCCCGTCCTGTCAGTTTACAGCCAAATCTGAAGCTGATATCACCCGTACAGCATCTGAATAAAAACTGTTGGTATTTCCTCCACAGAAATTCCCTCCAAAAGTATAATCGTTTTGAGTTTCTGGTCCCTCAGATAACACAACAATAACAACACAAACGTGTTAACATTAGCTGGTGTGACTGTGGGTTGTTAGGCTTATTTCAGGACTCTGTTTCCGACTGTGGTTCAAGCTTCACTTTCTATAATTTGGGGACTGTTAAGAGTTTAAAAAGTGAAAGTGGAGTCCGTTAAACTGCTCGGTCCTGTTGCTGACAACAGGGAAAGAGGAAGGCATCAAATAACCATCTGACTGACCCTTTCTAAATATATTCTGCATATATAAAGCACGCTGAGCCATTATTTCCTCTGTTCAGACACACAGGCCTGCAATAGTGCATATAGACCGACAGAAATAGGCTATTTTATTATTATGATCACTATTTTTTATAATCGTTCATGATGTCACTGAATCGTGTTTGCATTTAGTCTGTAAATGAAGATATTCAGGAGAATCTGGGCACTAATTCTCTCCTCATTAACTTTATGAAACGTGACTTTAACCCTGTAATGCCAAATGTATCATATTTGATTCATACGGTTTCTGAAATGTTTTGCGTCTGACTCCTTTTGCATAATTTAATGGTAAAAACTTTGCTCAAAATCCTATTGTACACAATCAGATACACCTGATAACAGGGGGCAGAAGACTACACAAAACATAATCTTGACTTATCGCATAGTTATAAATTATTAATATAAAAAATTTATTTCCGTTTTTTCTTTTTACATATTTTGTTAAAAGGCCAAATAAAGACTTCAAACCAAAAAAAAGTAATTTTCTTTCTTTGGTTTTATTCTTGGATCGGGCTTTAAAGGGTTAATACTGCGTTTTGTGTTTGTGTGAGTTTGTGCATCGTGGGACTCGAACATGTGGCATGATAAGAAATACTGTTGAGAAAATGCCAACTCTGTCCTGTCGGTGGCCAAAACAACAGAGAATCCGCACCTTGAACTGAGCTGTGAGCCTCACACTTCGTCCCTCTTTTTTTTTTTGTTTAAGAGGAGGAGGAAGTCACCTGGAAATGTGCTCGTCTTGATTATGATTATTTATTTTTGTTATTTCAAGCTTGTTCCTCCTCTGCTTTAAAAAAAAGTTGGTATATCTCTGATAGCTTGAGAGGCTGAAGTGTCAGGGAGTAAGGAGGTGCTTTCAAACTCCGACGTAATGGTGGGAAAAAAATAAAAAAACTTGTTTCATCCACAAGGCTGAGACTCAGGTTTATCTATAGCCCAGCTCTACTTTTCCCCTCTCCCCTGGAAAGTAGGGATGGAACGGTTTCTGAAAACCGTCTGAACCGTTGGGTTGGACTGTCTCGGTTCGGTTTGCGTGTGTTTGTTCGGTTCATGCTGCTGCTTTTTCTCAGAGGGAAGCGTTTACACTCCAGAGCAGAAGGGGGCGCTACTGCGCCCAAAGCCAACCACCAGTAGGAAACAAGAAGAAGAAGCGAAGCAGCGAAGCCGATAATAAAAATCAAACGCGCCAACAGCAGTTTATAGGTCTGGTGTATGGGACACTTTGCATTTAGAGGGAAGCACATGTTGGAATTAGCACTGTTTCCTCGCTTGCAATGCCAGAATCTCACCTACTTTTAACCTCAGACTGTCACAATGATGTATCAAACGTCAGACTGCTTTTTTCTTTCAGTTTTAACCTGACTATACAAGACATAATAGATTTTCCTAACAATCAACATATACCGAACCGAACCGAAAACCGTGACCACGAAACCGTGAATCGAACCGAACCGTGGATTTTATGAACCGTCCCACCCCTACTGGAAAGTACTTCCTGCCTGCTAAAATCGGAGGCCTGTTTCAGTTTGTTTCAGACGGTTTCAGACGCGTTTGTACCTTCTGGCCGGTGTCGGTGGTGATGGCCAGGCCGTTGGGCACCAGGCCGGCCGTTTTGTGTTTCTTCACCAGCCTCACCGAGAACACGGGCACGGCCACCTGAGCAGAAACAGGAAGAAAAGAGCAAAAACTGAGCCTAAAACAAAACCAGAGGAGTTGGGCTGAGGTCTAAAGGCGATCGAGCCTTTAGTGTGTCCCCAAAGCTCTGGAATAGCCTTTTAATATAAGAGCTGCCCAGACCATAGAGGAGTTTAAGGCCTGTTTAAAAGCCCATTTATTCGACATGGCTTTTAACATTTTAACCTTATGTTGAGGTAGAGCACCTTTTTACCTTTTTTATATATTTTATATATCTTATTTATTTATTTATTTATTTATTTTTACATTAAAATCACATATACATGCTTTTTATGTACAGCACTTTGGCAACCTTGGTTATTTTAAATGTGCTATATAAATAAAGTTTGACTTGACTTGAAAACAGCATCACGAGTGCACGGTCCCTGCAGAAAAGCGGGAAGGAACTAGAAACCAGTTTTTTTTTTTTTTGTTCAGAATGTGAGGAATGCGGTGGGAATAAGCAGCTTATTGTAACCGAGCGCCTGAAGACGGGTTCGGTTTCAAGGAAATGGAGGAGAAGGTACAATGCGCCACATCAAAGGGAAAAATCCCACTGCTGGTTACAGCTTAAAGGGGACATATTATGCAAAACCAAGTTTTTAATCATGTGATTATGTACATTTGGGACTGTGGAGGGCCTATCAGCAGGCAAAGTGTGAAAAAAAAATGACTCAGTCGTGTTTTTGTGGGCCGCCTCAGTCTGAATCCAGGAGATAAATCAGGAGGTTTCAGGAGTGGGTAGTTTCTGACGTCATTAGCTCTAGCTCATTATAATATTCCAGCCTTTCACCTGCATGTTGCCCCCCCCCCTCAGCTTACTCCCCTATCTGTGGAGACGTCCTGGTAGCGTGAGCGTTAGCATGGTAGCGTTAGCGTGGTAGCGTTAGCATGGTAGCGTTAGCGTGCCGACGTGGGCACACCTCCCTGAAGAAGTGGGTGGATTGCCTGTGTCTCATTTGCATTTAAAGAGACAGGCACTCCAAAGCGAGCGCTCTGAACGGGGCTGTTTTGGGTTAGGGTTAGGGTTAGGGTTAGGGTTAGGCAGGGGGACTGAACTGCTATTGGGCTTCATCCTTATGGGATTCTGACCAAATCTTGTCACAGACATTACATTAGGACACCAGGGAACTAGCATAACTTGTTGAAATAGGGTATAATATGTCTCCTTTAAGTGGGGCTGAGCACGGAGGCTCCAGGGACACGATCAGACGGACACGCGCTCAAAAAAACAACTCAAGTCTGGAATAACTCAAATACGCTTGTCATCCCAAAATGTCTTTCAGTAGCATAATTAGTCGAGTTGCTCAACCGGCCGGTGGCTGGAAGCTCCTCAGCCTGAGTCGTTCCTACCTTGATGTCTTTGCCGAAGAGGTTGGCATAGAAACACAACCAGTTTCTGGAAATGTAGAGACGGCCTTGTAGAAGGATATCTCTGAGCAGAGCACAGGAGTACACTAAGGGAGGAGAGACAAAACCACGTTCAGAGACATAAAATCAAGGAAAACACACGTTTATTTACAGTGGGGGAAATAAGTATTTGACCCCTTGCTGATTTAGCAGGTTTGCCCACTTACAAAGAATGCAACGATCTATAACTTTAATCATATGTACATTCTAACAGTGAAAGAAAGAATCCCAAAGAAAATTCCAGAAAATCACATCATATGAATTTATAAAAATTGATAACCATCTGATGAGGAAAAATAAGCATTCTTTGTAAGTGGGCAAACCTGCAAAATCAGCAAGGGGTCAAATACTCATTTCCCCCACTGTAGGTTCTTCTCTCGCCCTCGTTTATTTCCTCCGGGGAGGTTTTATTTTATTTTGTGCTGTTTTTGGTTGAACCATACAAACAGAGGAGTGGATGTTGAGTATCCTGGAAAATGGACGGTTTCCGCCCACCCTGAGCCATGGTTCTGCTAGAGGTTTCTGCCTGTTAAAAGGAAGTTTTTCCTTGCCTGTGTCGCCTAGTGCTTGCTCATAGTGGGAATTGTTGGGTTTCTGTAATTAACTTCAGAGTAGGGTCTGACCTGCTCCGTTGGGAAAGCGCTGTGAGACAACTGTTGTTGTGATTTGGTGCTATATAAATAAAATTGAAATTGAATTGAATTGAAACATTTCTGAGCTTAAGCAGAGAGGCGTTTAAAACTCCAAAAACACCCCACAGAAGAAAATATAGGTAAAGCTATAAGGGGTTTTCTAAATATTTTTGTAACCAGAAAAACACTCTGCTCTGATGGAAATCCTGTCTGCTTACTGGCGGCTTATTTCCGTTAGCTGTTTGTAACCATGCTCCTTTTATTCTTGGTGCACTTGGCTGGTAAATATCAGCTGAAAGGGGGTCTGTGTTCTGCTGGTTAGTTTATTTTCGAGGTCCCGCTTATGAGGGGGGACTAAAAAAACACACAGCCCATGGACTTTAGGTTTTTTTTACTCACTCTGGAGAGCTGTAAAAGTAGATTCCCCTCACGTCTAGATCATGCTAGCGGGCTAACGAAGGATTCAGACGTCTGGATTCGGCTCCACAGAGCAAGCTGCTTTCCATTTCCTGGATTCTCTCTTATCTTGAACCCAACGAGCTTCAAAGTGGGTTACTTTTCCAGTATAAATGGTATAAATGGTAATGGGTATGGGTATGGCCTCTGTTCAGACAGATGCTGCCAGCTGTTTTCTACTCTACACAACTGGAGTGTCAGTAAGAGATTCTCCCCATTTGACTGATCCAGAGCAGGAATGCCAGAGCCACTATATTTCACACCAGAATCAACCAAAAGAAAAGAATCCTGCTAAAAACCTTGTAGATTGGGTTATTCCATCATGTGTCTGGACTCTGTGCATCATCCTTCATTTGTTCTCTCTTTTAAGACTAGTGTAAATGTAGAAATACACTCAGAGATGTGAGGATAAAGATAAGATAATATAAGATAAGATAAGATAAGATAAGATACGATAAGATAAGACTTTGAGTGACTGAGACAGGAAAAATGTTAGTGTTCTGCTTCAGAAGAGACCAAAATGAACATTTACTCCAGCCTATGATTTACTTTAATGACTTCAGTTCAGTTTAGGTGGCTGAACTTTGAGGTAAATTAAGTAAAGAGTCATCCGTGGGGTTTTTATCTGCTGACCAGGAGCGTAAAACACACATTTGTCAACTCATACATTTATTCTGAGCCTAAAAATGAGACTATTCAGCTTTAAAAACGCTCATATTTGGAGACGACAAAAGCTCTCCAAGGTTGCATATCGAAATTTCTATTAACACAAAGCATACTTGTTTTCTTTCTCCGTATTTTCATATTGAATTTGATAAGAACGGGCTGCATACCCATCCATCCACATTACAGGTAATAAACTCAAACCCGGACGGGAGATGTAACCGTATCGTTTCACCTCTAGAGCAGTGTTTTTCAACCTTTTTTGAGCCAAGGTACATTTTTTCATTGAAAAAATCACGAGGCACACCACCAACCAAAAATGGCAAACAAATTTGTAGCCGCCTATAGTAACACTATAGTTATTCTTATCTTATCTTATGTGTCTTGAATAGGAATCAAATAAACACAAAAATGTATTTTTATCGTATTTTATATTTCTTCTTTCAAATTGTACTTAACATGTCCACTTCAATATGCAAAATTATATACAAAGTCTAGTCATAAGGAATTATTACATGATTACGCCACCAGTCACTAGAACAGCACAGACACTCAAAAATGGAATATTATTTGCAGATAATGAATTACTTATCAAAAAATCTTTTTAGACCAATTAGGTGAAATAAGATGATTTTTTCTACGGCACACCTGACCATCACTCACTAGTGTACCGAGGCACAGTGGTTGAAAAACACTGGACTAATAGACTTAAGAGGTTGCTAAAAGGGGCAACAGCAAGAATCATCTTTTCAACAAATATTTAATTTGCCTCCTTTGTCAAAGAAGCTAAAACCTTTCAGAAATGCAGAGAACATGCTCGGACTGTTAATCTGCAATAATTAAATGCAGTAGGCTGGTCCCGATACGATATCTGGATCAGATTGGCTGCCAATATTCTCAAAAATATATCTCCGGCAGGAGAAAATGTAGATCCAGACTCCAGTCCAGTTTTTTTTTTTTTAAAGTTAGATCCCACACGAGCATTAGCATTAGCATCTGCTAACCCACAGGTCTGTGTCCTAACCATTAAGTTGTTATCAGAGCATTAGCATTAGCATCTGTAACCCACAGGTCTGTGTCCTAACCATTAAGTTGTTATCATAGTAAATCCCTGTTCAACATGAGTCTGACAACTAAGTAAGTAGATAAATAACTTTAAACTTTAACACATGCTCTGATAGGCCGGGATCGGATCGGAAAGTACTAAAAGCTGGATCGGGACATCCCTATTAGACATAGTAGGTTAACTCATTGGCTGCCAAAGACGTCTATAGACGTCTTTTATGTTTTTCAACGCGAGTGTCTTGGGGGACGATCTGCTAAAGCTTGTCCGTAAATATCGGCTTCTAGACAGAGTATGTAGTAACAAATTGACCCTCTAGGGGGCAGTGCCACTTTTGATGGGAGATGAGCATAGACTGTAGGCAAATAAGAAAAAGGTAATGGTTCGCTATGAGAGAACATGTCGCCGGTGAGACGCAAGACCAGGAAGAACGGAATAAGGTAGAAACAAAATGTTTTTCCTGATGAAAGAAGAGAGTCTACTCTTTCTTTTGGTGTGTTCGGTGTTTACATAGTCATAGCACAAACTATTCTGTGGCTCTTCAAAAATCAGTCAAAATCCTCAAAAAACTCTGGCAGTATGGGACTCTCTGTTCTGAAAATGGCTGCCAGTCAATGAGTTAAGGTAGACGCAAAAAATCACAGTGGTTGAAAAACACTCAAAAATGGAATATTATTTGCAGATAATTAATAACTTATCAAGAAATCTTTTTAGACCAATTAGGTGAAATAAGATGATTTTTTCTGCGGCACACCAGACCATCACTCACGGCACAGTGGTTGAAAAAAAAAACACTGCTCAGAACGACATCACCCGTGTGTGAGTCTCCTACCTTTCATGAGGATCTCATCCTTGGGAACGCATGGGAACAGTTTGTGGTACTGCGAGTTGTACTTGCTGACAGTCTGTGCAGAGGGACAGGGCAGAGTCATGAGCAGCTCCTTAGTGGACCGACCCTGCACCGCGCCGGCCCCCCCCACGCCTCCTCCTCCTCCTCCTCCTCCTCCGCCGCCGTCCCCGGTTGCCGCGGACGCCACGCGGTCCCTCAGGGGCCGGGAGCTCTGCACCAGGCTCAGCACGGTGGCCCCGTACTCACACACACACTCGCGCACATCCAAGGCCTGGAGCAAGCTGCTGCAAGACACACACTGTTCCCCTGCGGGCCGTCAGTACCCAGCCGGGGGGCTCCAAACCGCTACGGCTAGCTCTAGTCCACACACACACAGAGAGAGACACACACATGCACACACACACACACACACACACACACACACA